ACCAAGAATGGCTTATAAAATCCCTAAATCTCCCCAAAAAGGGATCTAGGAAATGAACAAGCAAGGTATTTACTTTATACCTTCTGGGAACTGCAAATGATGCACAAACTTGAACTCCCTTGGTCTTCTCTGGATCCCTCTAGGCCCTTCCTTCTTCCTTGTGATCAAAATCACCAAAAAGCACCACAAATGCCTTAGCTCTTTACATAACGGTTAGGGTTTGTTATGGGGGGTTTCTAGAAGCAATAGGGACGAAGGGTGGCTGGATGAGATGCTTAAATAAGGTGCAAACCCTTAGATTAGGGTTTTGTCTAGTTAGAGTCTACCCGTCGAGTCTGGAAGCCGACTCGACGAGTACATCATTTAAATCCCGTATCAAATCCGCTTCTACTCGACGAGTTGGGCCTTCAATTCGCCAAGTCCCAGACCAAAAATGAAAATTTTGGTCATGATTTGTGGGATGTTACATTATATTCCAAAAAAGTTCTTCGCATTTTGTAAGCAAATCATAGCATTCCATATATTTCTTGGCCAATTTGTTATATTCCATTAAAGTTATTCGCATTTTGTAAGCAAATCATAGCATTCCATATATTTCTTAATATGTAGAGTGTATTTCTATGGGTATTTACGCTAAAAACTTGTTAACAATAAGATTGAACATATGGACATAAAATCTAAGTAGATTAATATCTAAAATTAACTGGTTTCATGGAATTCATTGTTGAAAATAAAGAATAGCTTCAAATGTTAGGTCGTAATTTTTTTGGATTTTACAAAAGGGGAAATGACACAAATGCCCTACGAAGTTTCTAGGGTTGGTCAATTCAGTCTCTAAAGTTTTTTTTCGGGCTTTATGTGTACCTAAACTAGGATACGACCTACTCTTTTAGTCACTGCCAACCTGTAATAGCCGATTCAACATGCGACAGAAACCATTAGACCAAAAAAATCACATTCTGCCCCTATAAAGCCAAAAAAAATAAATTCGGGGATCAAATGCTTATGCCACAAGATCAAAGTGATTTGCGAGAAGAAAAAACCTGAAAATGAGAAAATGAAGAGAAACCCTCAGTTTCAGAAATAAAATGAGCTGTTGGAGTAGGAATTTTGAAAGATCCTGACATCAATAGACATGTTTCTTCATCTAATTAAGTGAAATTTAGTAGTTTGTTTCTTTGATCTTGTGGTATAAGCATTTGATCCCTGAACTTATTTTTTTGGCTTTATAGGGGTACAATGTGAGTTTTTTTTTTTGGTATAAATGGTCATTGTCGCATGGTGAACCGGCTATTACAGATTGACAAGGACTAAAAGAACAGGTCGTATCCTAATTGAGGGACCCATAAAGTCGGACAAAAACTGGACTGAACCGACCGGTTTTATGTCTATTTCTGGTTGGACCATGAATCAGGGAAGAGAACAGTTCAACTATCACCGGTTTTATGTCTATTTTTGAACCGGACTGAACCGACCGGTTTTTACAAAAATTCGGTTGAACCGGTTCAATTAAACTGGTTAAACTGAATAAAAACACATGAAATTTAAACCTTTGTAGTTTTTTTTTTTCACATTTATTAAAATTTTTCTGAATAAAAACACATGATAAATGTTATGAAGTTTTATGATGTGTTTATATTCATCTACGACTTTATTTTTTTTTAATGCACATGGATGATGTAAAACTTATGGTTATGAGTTATTTTAATGTACGTAGATTGATCTACAACTTATTTTCATGTGTATTTTAATGTTTGAACTTGTGTACATCAAATTCTTGATTTGTGTATGTATATATGTGTATGAAAATACAAAAAATATGAAAATTATAGAAACCAGTTTACTCAGTGGTCGAACCGGTTAAATAAGTTGAACTAGAAACCGGTAATCATATCGGTTCAACTAAAAAACCGGTTTTTAAAACATTGCAAATAACAACGGGAGGAAATTGGGAGTTGGTGGCCGTTTCGGATTATAGGAAGTGGAGTGAAGTTGCAAAACCCTAAAAGTTTTTTATATATATATTTTTGGGATTGCTTTTTAAACATAAAACTCATTTTTATAAAAGAAGTTTTTATAAAAGATTTTTTTTTAAAAGATGGTGTTTAAAATTTGTTTGACTTGCCGTTTATGACTTTTAAGGGATAAAAGCTAAAAGTCACAAAAAGATAGGAATTCTTATCTTTTCTCCAGCCAGTTTTTCATTCTTGACTAAAAGTTTATTTTAAAAGATTTTTTCAATTTACCAAACAACTTTTAGCAATTTTTAATATGAACATTTGTATTGCCATTGACATTTAAGATGAAATGTATACTACAGGATAATCAAAACTAAGAGATGACCAATCTAATATTTCTTTAAAAAAGCATAACCAATTTGATTTCAAACAAAAATTGAGTGCTTATCGTCGGAGTTGGAAGAATGGTTGACAAGCGCTGGTGGAAGAAGGTTAGTCGTCGCGACTGGCGGAGGGAGGCAGATGGTGTAGACGGAAGACGGCAGACGAAATCGAGTTGTACTCTCTTGTCGTCGTTCCGTTCGTGGTCTCGCGTCTTAGACTATTGTCATAGTTCGATTGCTAGAGGCTAGAGAGGAGGTGTGATTTGTGAAGTTATTGAACTGTGAATCTACGACCGTGAAGACGAAGTCAAATAAGCAATGTTTTAAAAACCGGTTTGAACCGGTTGGACCAGGAATCAGGGAAGAGAACAGTTCAACTATCACCGGTTTTATGTCTATTTCTGAACCGGACTGAACCGATCGGTTTTTACGAAAATTCGGTTGAACCGGTTCAATTAAACTGATTAAATTGAATAAAAACACATGAAATTGAAACCTTTTGTAGTTTTTTTTTTTCACATTTATTAAAATTTTTCTGAATAAAAATGCATGATAAATGTTATGAAGTTTTATGATGTGTTTATATTCATCTACGACTTTATTTTTTTTAATGCACGTGGATGATGTAAAACTTATGGTTATGAGTTATTTTAATGTACGTAGATTGATCTACAACTTATTTTCATGTGTATTTTAATGTTTGAACTTGTGTACATCAAATTCTTGATTTGCGTATGTATATATGTGTATGAAAATACAAAAAAAATATGAAAATTATAGAAACCAGTTTACTCAGTGGTCGAACCGGTTAAATAAGTTGAACTAGAAACCGGTAATCATACCGGTTCAACTAAAAAACCGGTTTTTAAAACATTGCAAATAACGACGGGAGGAAATTGGGAGTTGGTGGCCGTTTCGGATTACAGGAAGTGGAGTGAAGTTGCAAAACCCTAAAAGTTTTTTATATATATTTTTGGGATTGCTTTTTAAACATAAAACTCATTTTTATAAAAGAAGTTTTTATAAAAGATTTTTTTTAAAAGATGGTGTTTAAAATTTGTTTGACTTGCCGTTTATGACTTTTAAGGGATAAAAGCTAAAAGTCACAAAAAGATAGGAATTCTTATCTTTTGTCCAGCCAGCTTTTCATTCTTGATTAAAAGTTTATTTTAAAAGATTTTTTCAATTTACCAAACAACTTTTAGCAATTTTTAATGTGAACATTTGTATTGCCATTGACATTTAAGATGAAATGTATACTACAGGATAATCAAAACTAAGAGATGACCAATCTAATATTTCTTTAAAAAAGCATAACCAATTTGATTTCAAACAAAAATTGAGTGCTTATCGTCGGAGTTGGAAGAATGGTTGACAAGCGCTGGTGGAAGAAGGTTAATCGTCGCGACTGGCGGAAGGAGGCAGATGGTGTAGACGGAAGACGGCAGACGAAATCGAGTTGTACTCTCTTGTCGTCGTTCCGTTCGTGGTTTCGCGTCTTAGACTATTGTCATAGTTCGATTGCTAGAGGCTAGAGAGGAGGTGTGATTTGTGAAGTTATTGAACTGTGAATCTACGACCGTGAAGACGAAGTCAAATAAGCAATGTTTTAAAAACCGGTTTGAACCGGTTGGACCAGGAATCAGGGAAGAGAACAGTTCAACTATCACCAGTTTTATGTCTATTTCTGAACCGGACTGAACCGACCGGTTTTTACGAAAATTCGGTTGAACCGGTTCAATTAAACTGGTTAAATTGAATAAAAACACATGAAATTGAAACCTTTTGTAGTTTTTTTTTTTCACATTTATTAAAATTTTTCTAAATAAAAACGCATGATAAATGTTATGAAGTTTTATGATGTGTTTATATTCATCTACGACTTTATTTTTTTTAATGCACGTGGATGATGTAAAACTTATGGTTATGAGTTATTTTAATGTACGTAGATTGATCTACAACTTATTTTCATGTGTATTTTAATGTTTGAACTTGTGTACATCAAATTCTTGATTTGCGTATGTATATATGTGTATGAAAATACAAAAAAAATATGAAAATTATAGAAACCAGTTTACTCAGTGGTCGAACCGGTTAAATAAGTTGAACTAGAAACCGGTAATCATACCGGTTCAACTAAAAAACCGGTTTTTAAAACATTGCAAATAACGACGGGAGGAAATTGGGAGTTGGTGGCCGTTTCGGATTACAGGAAGTGGAGTGAAGTTGCAAAACCCTAAAAGTTTTTTATATATATATATATTTTTGGGATTGCTTTTTAAACATAAAACTCATTTTTATAAAAGAAGTTTTTATAAAAGATTTTTTTTAAAAGATGATGTTTAAAATTTGTTTGACTTGCCGTTTATGATTTTTAAGGGATAAAAGCTAAAAGTCACAAAAAGATAGGAATTCTTATCTTTTGTCGAACCAGCTTTTCATTCTTGATTAAAAGTTTATTTTAAAAGATTTTTTCAATTTACCAAACAACTTTTAGCAAATTTTAATGTGAACATTTGTATTGCCATTGACATTTAAGATGAAATGTATACTACAAGATAATCAAAACTAAGAGATGACCAATCTAATATTTCTTTAAAAAGCATAACCAATCTGATTTCAAACAAAAATTAAGTGCTTATCGTCGGAGGTTGGAAGAATGGTTGACAAGCGCTGGTGGAAGAAGGTTGGTCGTCGCGACTGGCGGAAGGGGGGCAGATGGTGTAGACGGAAGACGGCAGACGAAATCGAGTTGTACTCTCTTGTCGTCGTTCCGTTCGAGGTCTCGCGTCTTAGACTATTGTCATAGTTCGATTGCTAGAGGCTAGAGAGGAGGTGTGATTTGTGAAGTTATTGAACTGTGAATCTACGACCGTGAAGACGAAGTCAAATAACCAATGTTTTAAAAACCGATTTGAACCGGTTGGACCAGGAATCAGGGAAGAGAACAGTTCAACTATCACCGGTTTTATGTCTATTTCTGAACCGGACTGAACCGATCGCTTTTTACAAAAATTCGGTTGAACCGGTTCAATTAAACTGGTTAAATTGAATAAAAACACATGAAATTGAAACCTTTTGTAGTTTTTTTTTCACATTTATTAAAATTTTTCTGAATAAAAACGCATGATAAATGTTATGAAGTTTTATGATGTGTTTATATTCATCTACGACTTTATTTTTTTTAATGCACGTGGATGATGTAAAACTTATGGTTATGAGTTATTTTAATGTACGTAGATTGATCTACAACTTATTTTCATGTGTATTGTAATGTTTGAACTTGTGTAAATCAAATTCTTGATTTGTGTATGTATATATGTGTATGAAAATACAAAAAAATATATGAAAATTATAGAAACCAGTTTACTCAGTGATCGAATCGGTTAAATAAGTTGATTTAGAAACCGGTAATCATACCGGTTCAACTAAAAAACCGGTTTTTAAAACATTGCAAATAACGACGGGAGGAAATTGGGAGTTGGTGGCCGTTTCGGATTACAGGAAGTGGAGTGAAGTTGCAAAACCCTAAAATTTTTTTATATATATATATATTTTTGGGATTGCTTTTTAAACATAAAACTCATTTTTATAAAAGATTTTTTTTAAAAGATGGTGTTTAAAATTTGTTTGACTTGCCGTTTATGACTTTTAAAGGATAAAAGCTAAAAGTCACAAAAAGATAAGAATTCTTATCTTTTGTCAAGCCAGCTTTTCATTCTTGATTAAAAGTTTATTTTAAAAGATTTTTTCAATTTATCAAACAACTTTTATAGCAATTTTTAACTTTTTCAAAAAATTAAAAGTAAAAAGGATGATTAAAAATGAATCCCCCCCCCCCCCCTCTGCGGGCAAAATTACGGGACGGAAATAGCTACTTTCGACCCCGATCCCGAAAATGAAACGGGAGTTAGGCTTGCTCCCGATTTTTCTTAAACCGGACCTTATTAATGAGTTTGACCAGATTTTAGCTACTCCGAAATGGCCAGTTTAAAAATAGTTGGTTAGTTTCAGGAAAAAAAAAAAAAAAAAAAAAAAAAAAAAAAAAAAAAAAAAAAGATATATATTTTTTTAAAAATAAATGAAAATATGATTAATTTAGTTTATATGCCCAAATTAAAACGTCGGCCATTCCTACTCATTTTATTTCCCAATCCTCTCTCCCCTCTCTAAGAAAACAGGAAAATAGTTTATCGTTATCCGAAGACTTTGTTCTTCTATTCGCACAGGTCAACGGCTAACGAATGAAGTATGTGGCTGTGAATCTAATCGAAGCTCTTTTGTGCTAAATATTTGAACTGAAGAAATCCAGCAATCGAGTGCTTGTAACTCTAAAGTTACTCAGGACTTCAAGGTAATCTAAGTAAACTCAAACTTCAACTTCACCGATATACGTGCAGTAACTACACATCGTTAACTCTTCATCTACTTCGTTGATTGTAGTAGTTATGATTGCAATTTTAGAAGGAATTTTTCTGTTTGGTGCCGATGACAGTGTGAATACTTGAATATTTGATCGAATTTTCTCGATTGCAATCCATTGTAAGTATATGCTATGCGAAAATTGATGGTAAATTACATAAAAATTCAACCGCAATCATCAATTTGGGTTGTAAAACATGGCTTGAACTATTTCCTGTGGATTTAATTGATAGTAGGTGACACGTACAAGTACAAATTGTGTGCATTTTCAATCAAAACTGAAAGCATTCAGCAGAACATTAATGATATGTTGAACATTTGCTATACCTATTTTTTTTTTTTTGTATTACCTTGTGTATGTTTTTACCCAGTTGGCTTTCTGACACATTAACAGGACAATGCCAAATAATTGGGTGATTCTAACACAACCATGTTGTTTGATCATAATGTCAGATTGACATAATTTTGTGAGTTTAAGCATTAAAGTTAACACAGCTGTGTGACCTCTTTTGGATTCACTGTTGACTTGATACAGCCAAGTCAAATATGACATGGATCAGTTATTTGACTAGCATTTTGGCAGTTAATTTGGAGGGAAACGTGAACATAAGCATAAAAGAAGAAAATCTGATGATACTATATAAGTAGTTTTTCTTACCATTGTACAAGTATCTCATGCATGATTTGAGCACAAACTTGTAAAAACTTGTGCAAGGACAATTGTTCGTTTACTCTTTCTCCTATACAATTGTGTGATATAAACTAAATGACATATAGTGTCTTTGCATATATAAATTTGTTCTTTAAATCAAAATATGATTAGTTGATGCTTGATAGACACCTGAGAAGAAACCTGTATGGTAATTACCCCAAAATATGGGATTAATGTGACGAGACAAATCAAAGACATACCATCTGCTTGTGATACTCTTACCGATAGATGTTATGTATTTAAAGCTCCATATTTCCTACTATAATATACTTTCACACTCACTAGCTTTTTTTCTTTTTGTTTTCTAGGGTTTACTTCTACTTATGGCTGAAGCAATAGCAGCTGGTGCTGGTGTGGCAGCAGCAATTATCCAAGGTAAGACAGCATTATGGGAGCCACTTAAGCAAACAATTGCATTATCAAAAGATATGGACGAAATACATGGAGCTTTGGATGATGCAATGCAAACCCTCATTGCGAAAAGGGATGATCATGAGGACATGGTTCAAAGGCACAAGACAACAATGACACCTTCCAATGCTTACACCAACTGGAATCACAGAGTAAATTTGGTTGCAAAAGAAGTGGATGATTTAAAAGCCAAATATACAAAGGAAAGGAAAAAGTCATCTTGGTTTTCTATCGGTTCACGTTCTAGCTTCACTAAGAAGATGAGGAAGACTGCTGCAAGGGTCTTTGCTCTTATGGAAGAAGATACACATTTGGTAGATGTTTTGGTTGACAAAAAACCTGCATGTGTCGTGGAGATGATAACTTCAAAAATTACAAATATACCAACTCTCCAACAACCATTAGAACAAACATTGGGTTGGTTATGTGACAAAAGGGTTAGAGGCATTAGAATCCATGGACTTATTGGGAGTGGGAAAACAACGATAATGGAGAATTTGAATAACCATGTCAAGGTTGCTGAAATGTTTGATATAGTAATCTGGGTAACGGTATCAAGAGAAGGAAGCATCGAGAACAGAGGCATCGACCAAATTCAACAAGTTATTATCCAAAGATTGAAACTAAATATCGGGGTTACCACTACCATTGACCTAATTGCTTCTAGAATAAGAGAAGAGTTGATAAACATCAAGTACTTGCTACTTCTTGATGATGTTAAGGAAGATCTGAGTCTGGATAAGATTGGAATTCCTATAAGCGAGAATGGTAGCAAAATAGTATTTACAACTAGGTTACGACATGTTTGCTCCTCAATTGCAACGAGACAAACGAATGTTGCAACATTAAACAGAAAGGAAGCATTGGATATGTTCAAAAGTGTATTGGATCGACCACATCTTGCAGAAAACTCCAACATTAAACGTCTAATGCCTCTTATAGTCAATTGGTGTGGTTATCATCCACTCATGATAAAGGTAGCAGCAGGTGTGTTTAGAGTGAAGGAGACCGAAGAGAGTTGGCATGACGGTTTAATAAACTTGAGAAAGTGGCCAGAAAAAGGAGATGATACCATGCAAGAAATATACAAGTTATTGGCATGTTTTTTTGATTCCTTGAAAGTTGTCCAAAAGAAATGCTTCTTTTATAGTGCATTGTATCCGGAAGATAGTGACATTCAAAAGGATTGCCTACTAGACAATTGGGCAGCAGACGAACTTCTCGACACAGTTGATGATGTGGAAGGAACACGTGTTAGTGGACGTGACATATTGGATTATCTTAAGATGCTCTCATTGGTTGAAGAAAATACTCAACAGTGTATTAGGATGCACAAATTGATTCGCCTAGCCGCATTATATAATTTGTCAACTAACGAAGACCAAGAAAATCTAGTAAAATTTGGTGAAGCATTGAAGAATCCCTTGGATGTGGAATGTTGGAAAAACAAGAGATGGATCTCACTTGTTGATAGTAAAATGAATGCATTACCTGACGAACCAGATTGTCCAAAGCTTTCGACGCTATTTTTGCAGAAAAATCCTAATTTGGAAGTCATTCCACGAGCATTCTTTAATCATATGCAAGGTCTTCGTGTCCTTGACTTATATGATACGAGAATTTCATCATTACCAAGCTCTGTTTTGAACCTAGTCACCTTGAAAGTTCTCTATCTGCAAAAGTGTGTGGCCTTAGTTGAGCTTCCTCATGATATTGGAAATCTTCAAAAACTCGAAGTGCTCGATACCCGTGGCAGCGGATTAGCGAACATACCACCTCAAGTCGAGAGATTGATCTGTCTAAGGCGTCTGTTGGTATCTTTCACTAGCTCATCAAGTAGCTCTCCTGTTCAAGAAGCAGCTGAAGACATCAAAGTAATCTCCAAGATTCCTAAGCTTAAAGAATTGGTAATTGATGTTGAGGAAGGGCTAGAGAAACTTTTATATGGTTTGATTGTCAATGTTGTTACGTTAACAAATCTTTCACTTCTTCAATTTTGTTCTCCTAACAAGGTGGTAGATCTCATCAAAGCTATAGGCGGTAGTTGGAAGATCAACTTTCCTAACGAAAAACTTCTTCAAAAGTACATCGACAAGGTAGAAAGCTCTAAACTCAAAAACTGCCAAATTTTTATAGGTTGTGATATCTCATCGCCTCCTCACATTATGAAGTTCATGCCATATTTCAAGTTCAATGGAGAAGTTAGCAATAACACAATCTCACAAGTACTTGGTAATGATGTTGCAATTGAATTGGTGAATCATAATGAACTTGAGCACTTATCCAACTTCACTCCTGCAAACATGAACAAAATCCGTAGTTGTGTTATCAAAGGTTGCAACAAGATGAGGACCATAGTGGATGGTAACACGGGAGGTAGCTTGATATTAAACAATTTGGAGCAATTACACATGATCAATTTGCCATTTTTGAAGAACATCTCAGAAGGTCCAATGCAAGGTCTAAATAACTTGAAAACTTTGATTTTAAGTAACTGTCCCATGTTGACATGGGTATGTACATATGGTGTAATTCTACAACTTCCTGAGATTCGTCATCTAGAAGTCAAAGGGTGCTCTGAGATGAAAGAAATATTCAGTGGGCCTGTAAATGTTGTTTCTCCGGTGCTTCCAAATCTAAAGAAACTAATACTTGTTGATATGCCTCAACTTACAAGCATACTGGTAAGTAACTCATTTGAGTGGCCTTCTTTGGAGAGACTTAAGATTCTTGGGTGTCCCGAATTGAAAAGATTACCTTTTCGAAAAGATGGTGCTGCAAAGCTGAAATCCATCGAAACAGAGAAAAGTTGGTGGGAAGCTTTAGAAAATGACAAGGATGTTAAAGAACAATTTCAACGCTATTGCACCTTGAGGTAAGAGGCCATTTATCCTTAATAAAATCTTTAGAGTACTAGTTGTATTTTACTGAGCAACAAACATATATAGCAAACATGGATTGTCAATTGTATGTATTTTAAGGGGTTTTGACAATAAAAAGGATTTTTTTTCAAGATATATCTCACATCATATAGTTTATTTCAACTCATGTTAATTAATTATCTTTGTAAAAACAGGGAAAAGTAATTTTCCTTTTGGCATTGTAATATTGTTGGCCATTCTAATTATTTAGCAACTATACACCTTGTAAATGTTAATCACCTCTCTACTTATGTGTGATGTTCCGATCCTACATGCCCATTTTCCTAAACATTTATCCCTAATGAGCCCTAAAAGCAACATTATTTTAACAAGGAAAATTGGGTAATTTATGGCAGTTTCTTTTTTGGCCAGAAGTACCAGGCAAAACATAATGTGCCAATGCAACAACGAAAAGTTGTTAAGTTGTTTTAGTCAATAGTATAGGCACCAAACAAAAAATTGTGTAAAAATAAGACAAATCTGTTAGAATATGTAGCCAGAATGGTTTGAGAAGGTGTAACTATTGCTTTATGTTTTAACAGCTGAAGAGATCAAGAAAATGCAAATGCCAATTTATTGATGATGTGGCAACTACTCTAGTGGCTGCAGCGCATTGGAATAATTGTATCACATGTTACCTTTACCATTCCAATGGGATTATAGGTTATGTTGTTGTAGCACATATTAATATGTATTTGCTTTTATAAAATCCGTTACCACACGCCTACATATGTTGTTACTTGTTACATGTTTGTTTGATTTTACTTCTCCATCGGTGGAAGTTTTTGCTTATTATCATGTAAACCATGTATAGATTTTATCTGAGAAATTTCTTGTTTTTCTGCAATAAAGAGAATGATACATGTATGTGTCCATTGTGTAAACTATAAGGAGGTTTTCCTTCAGTCTCAGCCTAATCGAATTTGTTTTACATGAAGTTTTATTGATTGTTACATGATTCTTGAGTTAGTAGTTCGTAAGTTTTGGTGATTGTGGTAGATATTTCTGTAGCTTAAGAAGCTGGTTTTGTTAAAGTCTGAGTCTAGATAATAAATCTGCTCAGGGAAACATCTTTGGTATCACATATGTTCATGTATAGCAAAGCAGTCAACTGTGGCATTACCCTATCAATATATAGTAGCCAGATAGTGTATCATGCTATAAGGAAGTGTAATTTTTGTAAATATGATTGCATTCTCATTGTAAATGTTTGAAAGTTATAAACATCACCTGTAATATATATATATATATATATATATATATATATATATATATATATATATATATATATATATATATATATAGTTTCACTTACCTAAGATGCATTCACACTGTATCACATAATGCTTTCAGAGACTACAAACAAACTATAATCAAGTAACCAACAATATACAAATTCTTCTTGAAAAATACATCATATACTACGAAACAAAAGTCTGTACAACTTATAAAAAAGCTATCACATTTTCTAACAATTGGGTGTAACATATATAAATAGTTTCACTGCTACAAAAAGATATACAAAAGTGTTGATTTGCTTCGCCTTCAACGCTTTCCAAGTGTCTACTATATGAAGTTAAACTTTGCCCTCTCCCTCATCACTAGATCACCAAAAATAAAATACTTTCATTCTAGCAAGTTTTGGCATATGTAAATCACACCCAAACAAACACCTTTTAACACACACTTTGTTTTTAAATTCACATGGGTGTGTGTCCACTTGCACTGTTTCTTTCTGCTTCCTAGTAAGCTCCCCAATACCTAACACACATTAAAAGAAATCATACTATTATTTCAATACATATTAGAATCCCTTATACCCCGTTCGGTAGTGGTGAATTGATATGCTTTCAAGTTTCAGATGATAAAAAATGATAATGTTTATGAGATCAATTGATTTTGATTAAGATATCAAGATAGGAAACTTCACCTGTGTTTAAAAGAAAAAGGCTAATCACTCAAATGCGGGAGAATGTTCACAGCATCAGCTAGTTCATCCATAATGTCACCATTTGTTCCAAGTGGGATGAAAACATTAGCCAGATAGTTAGGTCGACCACGGGTCCACTCCGGTTCACACCATTTCAATGCATCCCACCATTCATTCTCTCCTTTAATTTCCTTGATATCATTATCAAATGCTTTCATGTAGGATAGTTTCTCTAGTTTTGGGCAATCATAAACGACCAGACTTACCAATCGTGGGGCAATACTTATACCACGAGAGATGCTAACCAATTCAGGGAGGTGTAGAAGTGATATCTTTTTCAAGCTTGGAAGATAACGAGTTGATGTAGAGTTGTAGGATCCCAAACTAACAAGGCTATTGATCATAGTACAGTCTTCAACGATAAGAGACTCTAAGCAAGTGAGGCTTTCAAGCAACCCCTGCGTAAAAATGGTCCTCAGCTCAGGGCATGAATGCATCGCCAAGGTTTTTAGATTGGACAGACACCGACTATGAATTGGGCCATTCCAGATGCAAAGGAGACTCTTCATGTAATGAATTGAGAGATGTTGTAATGATCCAAGAACTGGTCTTACGAAAAAATCTTCTAAATGGCGTCCATTGACAATCTGCAGCATCCCATTGCATTCCGACAACAGGCAGAATTTCAGCTTCTCCATCTCCGCCAGCCCAAAGGCAGACAAGGACTGGACAGTCCAGTGGCGATCTATGAAAAGAGAATTAGCATGTTCTAGAACCCTGGCAATCACTTTTGTGTCCCCATTGCCATTTGTATATGTCAGGCACTTTGGCAGTTTTGCAAAGGTCTTATGAAGGTCATGTGGGACACGCGATATGAGACGTTGTTGCAGGTGACCAACAACGAAACCAAAATTCGACAAATGTTGGTAAAGAGGGACCCCTCTCCAGTTCAGTGTCTCCATAAACATCTCCAGCAGTTCTATGGTAGGGAAATATAGTCTCAAAGATTCCAAGTCCCAAAACTTAGACAAAATGCCAATGATAAGTTTGACCTCATCCTCCCACCATTCACCATAAAAATCCACACAAATGCTTAGTTCCTTTAACCTTATCAGTTTTGACAAAACTGCTACATGAATTATTTGCATACTTTGGTTGCTTGCTTTGGACTTGTCTTGAAAGCTATACAAAGAAAACTTCAAGCATTCCAACTTGGTTAGCGACCCAAATTGCTCTGGTAAGCATACAAGCTGTGTTCCTTCTGAATCAAATACCTTGAGATTCTTAAGGGCTCCAATTTCAGGTGGTAGTTCCATCAAAAGGTCACAGTCTCTTATGAATAATTTTCCAAGAGTTGTTAACTTGGAAATGGAAGATGGCAAACATTTTATGCTCGTGCTTGACAAATCTAGAACTTGGAGGCTAGGCATATTATCAAAGAATGTAATGGGAATATCAATGAGATCTTGATTAAAGTGTAAAAACAAATTTACAAGAATTGGGCAGTTGGGGTTATCTGGAAGCTCGGATATTATGTTATTACTTAAGTGGATTTCCCTCGCATCCCACTCTTCAACGTTTGGCATTCTGTTTGATTCTGAACCATCTTGCTTAAGATAAAGTCGATATGCACGAGGTACAAATTCAGCAACTAAAACAACTCGAGTCTCATCTCTCATTCTAACACAATTATTCCCGACTTGTTCTAGAAGGAAGGAACGTATGAGGTCTTCAAAGACATTTTCTCCTTCCTGTTCAGTTTTTACCAACCCATCTCTAATCCAACTCCTTATCAATAAAAATTTATCAAACTCTGTTCCTATGTAGCGTGTTGCAAATTGTATAATGCACCTTTGAGACAAGCTTTCCATGCGAGACCAAATGAATCTTAACACCCTCACCATGATATCACTTGTGATACCCAACTGTGATGATGAAGAAGGCTCTTTTTGTGAGGCTAATTCCTGTAATGCAAATTCCCAAACACCAACTTGAACCACACCTCTCAAAGCCCTTGCAAGTAAAATGATGGCGAGTAAATGGCCATGACACTTTTCAATTAAGCGTGTTGCCATTTCTTGAATGCTAGTGTACTTGCTCACTGTTTCTAGGTCAACATTTGTAGAGAATAATATCCAGGGTAGAAGATGATCCTCAACTTTGATCTCTATATCCACGGGGAAATAAGCATTTTCTGATCCACTTGTCATCACTATCTGAACAGTTTCAAACCATTTGGACAATTTGAACTCAAGTCCATGCAAATCGATTGAATGATCACTGCAATCTACAAACAACAAACAGTTCAGGTACTTTTCCACAACAATTGTTTCATTGTCAGATTCTGAGCTTCTTTTCCTCCACAGATATATCTCTTCTTCTATGTCATTCACAAGCTCTTTGATGTTATGACGTGATACACACAAGACCATATCAAACGCGCTTCTTAACTCTGGCATATCCTTCAATGTTTCTACTACTTCCTGAGAACCATTTCCAGAAATACCAAGCTTCTTGACATTCAAATCCTTGATACAACTTACAGCTCTGTGGGCAGCTGAAGCAACTACACTAGCATGGACTTCTGGTATACCTGACCAAAAACTTGCAATAGAAACTCGCCCAGAGTTGACTCCTGTTGCTAAATTTTCAATTCCTACAGACCCGAAACTGTTGTCTTCTGGTAAATAGGCCACCATATCAAAATGAGCATCATCTAAATGTTCTTCAATGTCTTGAAGAAGTGTTTGAATCTCTATCAGGTAGCTTCCATCCCTGGGAGAGTCCAGTGACTTTCTTATGTACTCATCTAATGAGGAAAAATTGTCTAAAAGAGACCTAAAGTTGACCTCTGCTTCTATTTTCACATGGTAAAACCAGATGAGGTGTAAAAAGTCCTTCATCCTCATCAAGGCATCAGCTCGTTGTATATACTCCAATTGCATCAATCCATACAAGGATTTTGTTTGGTCTTCATCAATGACTTCATGGTTTGGCTCACTAGTTGGATCAAACTCGTCACTAGAGTACCTGATGCTTTGCTGTGAACTTATTTCAAGGCGCTCATATGAATTTTCAGATATAACATCCACATCCTTTTCTGGCATGTCACCATAATCACCCTCATGCTGGTCGGATTTGGCAGACAAAAGCTCAATGTCCTTTTTAAAGTAGCTTCCTCCTGAAAAAGCAATATTAGCATCTTTTTGCAAAGAGAACTATACTAAAGAACAGTTACATGGCCAACATACTAAACATCAACATGGAATCATCAGGGAAAACAGAATAGGGTGATGTATGTATGTATGTATGTATGTATGTATGTATGTATGTATGTATGTCTGTATGTATGTATGTATGTATGTATGTATGTATGTATGTACGTGTGTACACACACACACACACACACACACACACATATATATATATATATATATATATATATATATATATATATATATATATATATATATATATATAGGTTCAAATGTGGATTGCATCTATTATGCAAATGTGTGGACAGTGTCATTCAGTGAAAATGACTTAGAGAATAGGTTGTTAGGTAATGTGAAGCAAATGATATCCAACCTAGCTGGGTTGATGCACCGGGTTTTATACATATGTGGGGCGTGAGGTTGGGAGTTCAATTCCCTTAAACTACCTCTTGTGGTGCCCCATGTGAGGGAACTTTTCCCTGGAAATCCCTATGCGGGCTGGGTTTACCCTGTAAAGGAGCTCGAAGCCTCGAACCCAGGGTGCTTGCTAAAATATTGCGAGTAGGCTTCCGCTTAATTCGTTTTCCGTTTCAAAAAAAAAAAGGTAATGTGAATACGTTCAATGTCACATAACTATTGCCATTATTCACTCATTCTTATTCTTACAAATTATATTTAATCTTCAAAAACACATTCTGACAGAATGAGAATCATAAAAAGAAAAAAAATCCATATTACCCTTATAGATGATTTAATTAATGAAAATGCATGATAATGACAATATTTATTATGGTTGAACATATTCACATCACCAAACAACTTATTCTCTTAGTCATTCACAGAATATCACTGCCCACACATGTCCGCACAATAGATGTTCATCCACATATGAGCATATATATATATATATATATATATATATATATATATATATATATATATATATATATATATATACACACACACACACACAAGCACTTGAGGCAAGTTAGATGATACATAGTGCTTAAGTAAGCTCATAGAATGTAAATGCTATCATCATTCTTTTACTTTCCTTCTTTTCACTAGAAATCAACCCAAATATGACACAAATATTTAATAGAGTCGTTGAAATAATTTAATAGCTCATATCACCAACTTCTCTTGTATGCATTTATCTCACAAAGTTAGTACAAATTAGTTAATTTGATTCTTTAGATAGCAATGCACCGGTTTAAGATGAAAGATATTGTTGAATACAATTTCTTTGCAGTTTTTTATAACAGGAATTATGGCGAGGATAACAGAAGTGGTAATTGAGAATAATTTTGTTCTAAATAGAGAAGTACATGACATTGAACAAGCGGAAGAAGCAATTGAAGAGTTAAAAGGGCCGGATAATGATGTACAAGGAATACAAGAATGTATGAAAAGTCCTCTTAGTGGATAAAGAAAATAAAAACAAAGTGATTCTCGTCATTTCACAAGCACTTAACAAAATTTGTTAGCAAAGTTAGTGATAAGGACCATTTGTGTGCAAGGTTTGCTCCATAAGGATTATCTATGCAAAAAAGGTCTAATAAGGACTATTTTAGGGAAAAATTGAAAATCATTAGGACCATTTGTGAAAATTTGTCAATATTATATTACTGTACAATACAATGAATAGATACAAGAATATATATATATATATATATATATATATATATATATATAGATAGATAGAGAGAGAGAGAGGGAGGGAGGGAGAGATGCGGATAGAAAAATCGTACGTGCCGATGGGCTAACTGGGCCTAACCTAATATATAAAATATATACATTCTAACATTTTTTGGCAAGTATACATTGAGAGGACTTTTAGAAGGATATGACATAACTAAAGGACCTATAGTTTTACTTGTGCTTAATTCTCTATGTATTTCATGGTAACATGCTAAATTTACTAAAAACCACATGTATACACACAAATTGATGAAGCAACGGTAAATTAATGCATTCATATACAAGGAGACAATATAGAAAAAGTATGCATTTACCAGAGTTCTCTCCATAGGAAAAGAAATGCTTCTGCAAGCTCCAATCAGATGTAGTTATACCCATTTGGGGAATTGAATTATCAGTTCTCTCATGTAATGCCATTATAGACTCAAGACCAAAGAGAACCTCAGCCATTGTAATACGTGGCTCTTGATGTTCACGCAAACAGCATTTCACTATTCTTGCATAATCATTTAAGCACCTAAGCGAAATCTGCCCCCTCAAATCTGGATCAATGATCTGCTCTACTTTCCCTGTTCTTATACAGTGTTGAGCCCATCTCACCAATCCCCGTTGTTCCTCATCAAGATTCCGATCGGTTGCACGCCTCCTGCATAACACTTCCAATAGAACAACTCCAAAGGAATACACATCAGACTTCTTGCTTAGTCTGCCTGTTGTATAAAACTCTGGATCGATATACCCAAATGTGCCTGCAACTTGCGTAGTAACATGGGTAGACCAGTTATCGGTGGGGATTATTTTAGATAATCCAAAGTCTGTGAGTTTGGCTGCCCATTGGTTATCTAACAAGATATCAGCGCTCTTCACATTGTTGTATATGACCTCTTTCCCACTACTCCCATTGTGGAGGTAGTGTAATGCACGTGCAGCATCAATACATATGTTGAGTCTTTGCGACCAAGATAATGGAGTACGATGCTTGTGTAGGTGCTCTCCAAGGCTTCCATTGGACATATACTCGTAAACAAGAATCATCTCTTTACGATCAGTACAAGATCCAATTAAAGACACTATGTTAGGGTGTCGCAACATAGGAAGCAAATCAACTTCAGCCTGAAACTCAGTGGCACCTTGATGAGAAACAGGGTTCCACCGCTTAAGAGCCACGATGATTCCTGTTCCACTCTTGATTGTGCCTTTGTACACACTGCCGAATCCACCTTTCCCTATGACCATGCTTTCGTTGAAGTCTTGAGTGGCGGATCGAATTTGAGCAATTGTAAATTGATGGAAACATTCTCCCTTTGGGGATGATGATCCGGTCTCTTTACTAGATGTAGGTACAGGTAGCAAATTGGACGGTTTGGATATGTTACCATGATATCCCTTATGCCGGAGGGATTTGGCAGCTGACAAAAGCCTTCTGACCTTGCTAAAGTGGCTTCCCCCTGAAATGAAAAGCAATATTAGCATGTGTTTGCAAAGAAAAGTATACTAAAGATCAACAAGGAATTACCGAGGAATGTCAAGAATAGAGTGATACATGGATAAAGAACATACATACATAATTTTATATATACACATATGGAGGCACTAGTTAGTGTGGTAAGTCAGAAGAAAAATACCCACCCCAACTAAGACTAGAAGCGAAAGTACTTTAAGTAGATAAATGCCGATGGGCAATAAGACAGAAAGCTGAACTCAAGGACCAATGATGCCTATTCAAGGTTTGATATGGGTTTTTCTTTTATCTTATGAAAAAAATTGTATTAATGTCATATCCATCCATCCTCTTCATTCTAAACATCGTCCCAGTGGACACTTGGTTAACATTATATACATATGAAAGTCAGCTTCACTTGCTTTTTTTGGCAAGCATATATTACGAGGGTTTTAAGGACATAACGTTACTAAGGTACTTATAATTTGACTTATTTTTCATCTTGTGTACATTTCATAGTAACATACTAGATTTATGAAAAAAATACATATATTTTTCATCTTGGGTGGCAGATCGAATCTGAGCAATTGTAAATCGATGGCAAATTAGTTGTCCCTTTGGGGACGAGGATCTGGTCTCCTTACTAGATGTAGGTAGAGGTGGCAAATTGGACGTTCTGGATGACCAGTCGATACTAGATGTAGATACAGGTGGTAAGTTGGACGGTCTGGATGACGAGTCGGAACTGTGAAGGGAACCATCCTCCTCAACGTCTAGCCGTGACAACATTTGTGTTCTCTCTTAGCAATTAACGCGAACACAAATGACTTCAAACCGTAATATAGTAGAAAAAACCACCTGCTCAAGAAGAACTCGTTGTATCAAATCTTGTTGCAGTTTCAATAGCAAGGGCTGCTGAACTGTCGCCGGAATTCCCTCGGCCAACGGAGTCGGTGCAGTTAGGTTTCAGAAAATTCTTCGGTTGTCGATTATACTTCTGTCCCTACCATCACCTTTCTGCAAAAATTCTCCCTCCTTCAATTACTCTGTGTTTCTTGAGGATAACAACTTTATCTTCAGTGCGAGAGGGGCGTTGACCGTAGGCGCACCACCAATATTCCGAGTGTGTTTGTGATTCTTTTTAAATAATTTTTTATTGAGTTTTCTATAAGTATCTCTTTCTCTTTCAACTTTTTTTTTTTTTTTCAGTTTTTAATTATTTTTTATTTTATTATTATTATTATTATTATTATTATTATATATATATATATATATATATATATATATATATATATATATATATATATATAAATCCGGTAAGAAATTTTTTTTGGTAGGAAGGTAAGAATTTATTTTTCGACATATTTTTTTGACGAACAAAAAAAATGAATCACTAGATGATTCATTTATAAGATGATTCACAAGAAAAAATTCTCGAAAAAACATCTTTATGATTCATTTTTAAGTAAATTAAGAAAAAATTCGCTTTTATGACAATTTTAGTGAATAACAACAAAATCATTATATAAATGAATCATCGAGATGTGTTTTTGAGAATTTTTTCTTGTGAATCATCTTACAAATGAATCATCTAATGATTCATTTTGTTTGTTCGCGAAAAAAATATGTAGAAAAAAAACTTCTTACCTTCATACCAAAAATTTCCTTCTTATTTGATCTTGATTCTATATATATATATATATATATATATATATATATATATATATATATATATATATATATATATATATATATATATATACTAGCAGTGTACCCGCGCAAAACGGCGGGGAATGTAAATTCTTTCGGTGATATGTTTCCTCTACAAAAATGTTATGTTACAAAAGAAAGTACATGTCGAAGACAAAATAATCAAACTATGGTGTTATTTGGGATATGAAATCATTTTTTGTTCCTGGACGGTGGGTTTTATAGCAGAGGAAGGAATAAAGAGGTATATGCGATTGGAGGGATATTTGAATCAACATGCTAAATTTAAGTATATGTAAAATGGTTCAAAATTTGAATGAATTCGGGATTTGAGGGAACCATATCAAATTGCTGATAAATATAAGGAGATTTGATGATAAATTTTTGAATTCAAAATGTGGTTAAAATTTAATATTATTTTATTAATGGTTACTTGTACTATCAGCTTCATCATTTGGACATCTTAAAAAATATTATTATTATAATCAATCTATTTTTAGAAATAATTAGATTTCTTTTATAAGATAGTAAAGATATATATATATATATATATATATATATATATATATATATATATTAAAATTGTGTGTTCTTAGCTATAGTAATTTGGGTTTTCTTTTGTTAAAATTTCCCCTTCTATTATGTTCTTCTTGTCTTTGTTTTTTTCAGCGGTCTCTGTGTAACGTCCCAAAAATACAGGCCAAAAATTTCATTTTTTTAAATACATTATTATATAAAACCATCGGCATAAAAACATTCATATTAATATCTCATGTCAAAACCAAAGTGTCAATAACCAAAACATATTATCATATCACCACATCAGAGTGTAATCCCGAAGATCTCATGTGCGGAAAACATAGTGTGATGCGTTGCGATCAAGCCAGCTCCTTTCCTTTGAAAATGAGTACCTGAAACCAAAACTGTAAACCGTAAGCACAAAGCTTAGTGAGTTCCTCCATCATACCACATACCATACAATCACATAGCATACATACTGCGGGGAAATTCTGGGGTGCCCGACCTACCCGTGTCAAGCCATTTTGGGGTGCTGACCTACCCGTGTCAAGCCATTCTGGGGTGCTGACCTACCCGTGTCAAGCCATTATGGGGTGCTGACCTACCCATGTCAAGCCATTCTGGGGTGCTGACCTACCCGTCGGTCCTAACAACCGACCCTCGGGGACTATTCCACCCCCTACTGCTACTATCACATATATCATAACATAAACATACTATCAGACATATCTGGGGTGCCTGAACTACCCTTCGGTCCTAACAACCGAACTCGGGGACTAGTCCCCTCCTATTACCTCTATCACATATAACATAACAAGTCAGCATGCAAACATATCATCACATATTGTCAGACGTATCTGGGGTGTCTGACTACCCTGCGGTCCTAACAACCGAACTCGACTACTATCACATACAACATATCATGCTAGCATATAACATATCAGGTAGTAGCAAACCTAGATGATATCACAAAGACAATCATCTATCGTACGTCTCCTACTGGTGGGTCGGTATTGTGGCCTTAGACCCACCATTACTGGAAGGTAACTCACCTCACACTGCTGAAGTTCCGTAGACATAACCCCACATTGCTGAAGTCCCGCAGACTTCACCCCATCTGCTAGATGACAGATTCCCGAACTGTCAACAGCAAAATAACACCCAATTAATAATTGGGTCCCAACACATAATCATAAATACTCACTTGGATACTTACTACATTACCCCAAGGTTGGCTTTATGCAAGCCCAAGGCTCAATCCTTAGGCCCAAAGTCCACTAGGAAATCAAAGCCCAGCATATGGAATCCTTACAAGGTCTTACCATAAGGCCAAATCATATAGTCCAGTCCAAAATTCAACATTCTAATGGCCCAATATCACATAATCATAAAGGCCCAAAATATGGCCCAATTTTCCAAATTGGGCCCAAACCCTTACATGGGCTTTACCCTAGGCCCATTAAATTATTTTAGTCCAATTGCATGATCTTGTATGGCCCAATTATGTAACGCCCGTAGATCCGGGCAAGTCAATTTAGAAGCAATATGGGTCGAAAACGACTTTTCGGCAAAATATTATTTAGAATAAATAATTTTAACCAAGTTATAGTATATGTCACAAGGTTTCTGTACATATAAAGAACGCCAAAATCTGAGTTATAACAAAGAAGTTATGGCCCGTCGAAGTTTTACGGCAAAACCGGCACGGCACTGGGAAGCGTAAAAAGTGAATTTATGGTTATGATTTTTCAAAGTTTCAGCTTAGCAGTGCACAGCCCGAAATCTGAATTTTAGATCGTCGATTTTTAGCCGACGGGATCTAAATGAATGTTTTATTACTTGTAAATACCAACACGTAGATATAAAGAACATCAATAATAGAGCTTGTATGCGAAAGATATGGACGAAGCTTAGTCCCTACTTTTCGAGCGCGGCGAATTCGATACAGTTTTGTAAATCCGAGATAGAATGAGAATTAGCCAACGAGGTCTAAATGGTAGTTGAAGATCTCATTAATAGGAACTCAACGGTAAAAAGACAGACAAAAACGGAACTCGTATGAGAAAGTTATGGACGAAGCTTAGTCTCTACTTTTCGAGCGCTACGAATTCGATACAGTTTTGTAAATCCGAGATAGAACGAGAATTAGCTAACGAGGTCTAAACGAAAGTTTAAGATCTCATTAATAGGATCTCAACGGTAAAAAGACAGACAAAAACGGAGCTCGTATGCAAAAGTTACGGACGAAGCTTAGAGGCAACTTTACTATAGAACTCCTATAAATACAAGGGTGAACTCCTCATATTTTCTTCACACCATAAGCCTCTCTTTCTCTCTCTAACTTCTCTCTAGCCTCCCTAAACCCCTCCCAAGTCTACGGAACCTCCCTGTCACGAGAAGAAAGCCCCGGAGCGCCCGACGGCTCCGAGAAGAAAAGCTTTCGGCTCGGAAACGCTGCTCCAACGAAGCCCGGTTTTTAATAAAAACCCATTGTAAGTGAGTTATACCTATACTATATTTAATATAGCTTTTATTTAATTATAGTAACATTATTAGGACCTTAAAATAATTATTTGGGCTATTATTATGAGTTATATTGAGTGTTATTTAACGCTTATATAATAGTAATAATAGCTAGACTATTAATTAGTCGTGGTTAACGTTAAAAACTAAACCCTAGTGGTATTGATACTAGGTTTTGTCGAGGAAAATTGTTTTGAGATAACGAAGTGCTATCTGAGTTCGGAATCACCACCTAATCAGGTGAGTGCATAGTCCCTTTCATCTTACACATAGATATGAAGTATTTAATATAAACTACGTGCTATGTGTGCATATTATCTGAATACTTGTTGTCTATGTTGGATGAACGTTTTATACATGTTTTAAAGGATTTAAACTGTATACGTATTTTATGTATATGAATATGTGGGGTATGATGATTGGTAGATAGATGATGAGAGATAGAAGATGACGTGAGTATACATTGGCAACTATATACTTAGTGCCTATGGGACAAACACCGGTAGCTATGGACTTAGTACATGTCAGACACTGGTAGCTATGGATTTAGTACCTGTAGGAATTGGTAGCTATGGACTTAGTACCTGTTGAACGCTGGTAGCTATGGATTTAGTACCCGATGAGTAGGATATAGCAGCTATGGAATTAGTGCTTTACGAACTAACATCGGCAGCTATGGATTTAGTGCCAGTCCTATAACCCTGGAAGTAAGGGACTTCGGAATAAACAAATGCAGGATAGACGACTCTTAGGTTAAATCCTTAAGAGTAAAGAAGATAACGGGGATGGGTAATGGGGTTAATTGTTTGATGATTAAACATAACAATTATATTATTGTGGGATTGAAAACCCTATGTACTCACCAGGTTTCCCAACCTGACCCACTCAGTTTATGTATATCACAGGTGTTGATATGAAGTCACTTTACACTGAGAGATTTAAAGAGATGTAGATCACTAGTGTAAATAAATGTAAGTTCTGTTTATGCTTATGTTTCTGTATTAACAATGACATCCTAAACGTTTTAAGATGAATAAAAATACGTTTCTTCGAAAATGTTTTAATAACGTATTTATCGTGTTTTTCTGGGAACAAATTCCGCAACCTTTTTATAAAATGAAGTACTCTGATTTTTATAAAGCATAAACAAAATCGGTCTTTTCTGGCCGTGATTTTGGGGATGTCACAAATTAGTAACCCAATAATCAAGGCCCAATAGAAGGGTCCAAAAATAAGCCTAGGTGAAATTAGGGTTTCACATAAAATGATGATTAGGGTTAAGTTTCCTACTTAACCCATTAAGGACTTAATCCATTAAGTCCATTATCGCTTAGATTGATCTTTGCCAAAGTTTATTATTTAATATCTCGGGTTATTAAATA